TGTATGTATGTATGCGTATGTATGTATGCATGCATGTTTGTATGTACTTATGTATGTATGCTTGGCCAGTTTGTCGATGTTCTAAAGCTATTCCAACCCCTCAACCGCAGTGTTCGTTTCCTGTGACCGTTGTCCACTTCTGGAGTGGCAGGAGCACTGGCCACATCGGCGGCGCCTTCTTGCGCAGCTGCTGTATACTTGGCTCCAGGCCTGCGGGCACGTCGACACACACACACACACACCTACTGGTACCTACAGGTGTACGTGTGTGTGTGTGTGTGGCTGGGTAGTTCGGCAAATTAGGGTCCCTTGAGGTCCTTTTTTACAAGGGTGCCGTACTTTTTTGGGACCTAACAAGGAACCTAATTTAGAGAACTACACATAAATACTCGTATATATATATATACATACATACATACACATTTTATACGCATACATACATACATACATACATACACACATACATACATAAAAAAACGTACATACATACATACATACATACATACATACATACATACATACACACACACATACATACATACATACATACATACATACATACATACACAGATACATACATACATTCATACATACATACATGCATGCATGCATACATACATACATACACACATACATACATACATACAGACATGCACACATACATACACACATACAAACACACATACATACTTACATACATACATATATACATACAGACATATGCACATACATACATACATGCATACATACATACATAGATACATAAATACATACCTCTGTACAGACATACATACTCTGCATGATAAGTACATGGATGCATGCATTGATGTATACAGATGTGTATGCATGTATGTGTTTATGTATGTATGTATGTCTGCATGCATGTCTGCATGCATGAAAGCGTGTAGGTAAACGTACACATGTATGTAAGTGTGTGTCTGTGTGTTTGTGTACCGTCCTGGCAGCCAGCCAGCTGCTTGCCTGCCTAGATGTATGCATGCATGCCGGGATGTATGTATGAGTATGTATGTGCGTATGTATGTATGTATGTATGTATGTATGTATGTATGTATGTATGTGCCTATGCATGCATGCATGCATGCATGTATGGATGTGTGTGCGCCTGCATGAATCAATGTATGCAGCATGCATGTAAACAAAATTATATATATATATATATATAATATGCACATGTATGTAGACATGCACGCATATGCATATAACATTGTGTACACATGCATGAAACACGTGTTGGGTTGTGGCTGTTCTATTTTGTACTTTAATGTATCCTGCATACTTTGAACAGTACTAGTTAGTGCTTGTCTGAGTGGTGCTGTTGTCTCATGTGTTTCCAACAAGCAAAGAGAACAGGTGCATTGGTAATGTTCGGGGTTGTGGAGTTGCGGGTCCCTACACCCAGACTCCGAGCCTTCAATCGCCTCTTACATGGGAACTTCCTCGTCGATGCCTCGTCCCTTGAAAGACCCTCATATCTTCTTCTTCAGTACGTACACGCCAACTGACGTACATGAAGACAAGACTGCCGGGAAATATGCACATTAGGACGAAAGGCTGCAGAGAACCCTAGATTGTTCTGCAATCCCTCATACATTGGGCAGAACATCAGGTCCTCAGCCGCTAACGCAGTGCATATTTGTTGCTTACTGTTTGCTTATCCCCTGCAACCTTTTCCCGGTCACAGTCATCGCCACTCTAAACCCGCAACCCCCAAAGCCTTTCTAAGAGCTTTTCCGCCCCAAACAAGGGCTAAACCTTATTAATTCCTGGGTCCTAGACCCCCAAGCCCTTAAAGCCTAGCATTGAACCCCAAAGCCCCAAACCTTGTTTTGGAGATTAAGGTCCCTATGTCAGAGAACCCCGCTAGTACCCCTTCTAGCAGCCCTTTCCTACTTAAGTTCCTCAACCTTCCCAGCTCGGTGCTGCCGGCGCCGCCGAGCGACTCCGCCTGGACTGGGCCGCCAAGAGGGCTGCGCGGCGGCGGCTGCAAGGTTCCTGGGGCTCTCTTTTCTGTTTAAGAGTTTCGGGCTTACGGATTGAGGGCCTGGCTTAGGTTTCGGGCCAGTTTAGGGGTCGTGATAAGATGATTTAAGGTTCATAATAAGAGGGTTAGGAACTGAGGAGCTTCATTCCGTCCAACTAAGACAGCCCCCAGATCTGAGGATTATAATTTAGGGTTTAGGGTTTAGGGTTTAGGGCAGGCATCCTAGGACGATTGTCCTTATAAAGAGGGCTCCTTGATCAGGAAACAGTTAGATGATGAAATGCAGCGGTGCGAACGGAATGCCACCATATCCAAACACGGCAGAATGACAATAAACCCAAAGGGCCCAATTACTAATGTGGTAGCTACTTTGTAGGTATTGGGGCCCCCAAAGTATATACTATACTATAGCTTGGACCCTTTGGGAAACGACAATGCAAGGCAGGGTGAGCTTTCCCGCGACAAGGAAGAGTGTAGAAGCTCAAAGAAGTCAACGCACCATGATTCGACATTTGCATGCCTGCATACCTGTATAGGCGAGGGGGAGACAGGGAGACAGAGAAGAAGAGACAGAGCCAAAGATAGATAGAGAGTAGCAGGCAGAAGCAAGGACTTCCGCTTAGGGTTTAGGGTTTAAGGTTTAGGGTTTAGGATTTAGGGTAAAGGATTTAGGGTTTAGGGTTTAGGGTTGGCATGCCATGAACTTTTCTCTAAGCTTCCCCGAAGGGCCTAAACCCTAAACCGTAGCTGACTTAGGGAGCGGAGGTTGCGCTTTGGCTCAAGTATTACTTGCTGAATGCTCATCGCGTCGCTCGTAAGAAGGGCTTTGGGTTTTAAGGTTTTGGGCGTTTAGGGTTTAGGGCTTAAAGGTTTAGTGTTTAGGGTTTAGGGTCTAAGGTTTTAGGGTTTCGGGTTTTGGGGGTTTTGGGTGTAGGGTTGCCCTTTCATCGTAGACCCTTAATCCGAGATATGTTCAAACAACCTCGTAGTATCCCTCAAGATGAACCCTGATAGAACATTAGTAGTAGCCCTATCTGAAGCCTAAACCCTAAACCCTAAACCCTAAACCCTAAACCCTAAACCGGTAGGAGCCCACAATGCCTGGAAGTCTGCTACAGCAGCTTCAGCATTGCAAAGGAGGCGGCTCCTTGGTTCCAGCATGTTGGTCCTGTATTACCGAATGTAGGGTTTAGGGTTTAGGGTTTTTAGGGCTTTAGGGTATATAGGTTTTAGGGTTTAGGGGTTGTAGGGCTTACAGGGTTTAGGGGTTTAGGGTTTAGGGTTTTAGGGTTTAGGGTTTAGGGTTTGTATTGCCGAAGAAAGGCTGTTCTTAGTAGCTTTTTGTGTTTGTCTTTGCGGCTTGGTCCTCAAAGTTTACGGTCCCTGGAGATTAAATTCGAGCTCGGAATCATTCCCAACATTGTTCCTTGGGTTCCTGAGTCTGTGTATACCTATTCTAACTGTAACGGTCCGTGTGAGTCTGCGGCAACATGCTTGAAAAGTGCTATTCGACTTGCCAGGCCCTATAGTACCACTCAGAACCTCACAGGTGACCCGTTCAAGGAACCCTCTTCTAATTGTTAACCTAAACCCTACAAAGCAACCCCAAACCCTAAACCCTTAGACCTTCTTCGGATTGTTAAGGCGCCTGGAGAAACCCCAAAACCCTAAACCCTAAGCCCCCAAAGCCCTGAAACCCTAAACCCCCAAACCCTAAAACCCTAAACCCCTAAACCCTGAACCCTGAACCCTAAGCCGCCACTATATAACCAAGGATGGGAGCTTCCATTCGCAATCACAGGCGGTCGACCTGGTTCAGACAGTGGAGCCCTGGAGCTGAGTTGTGGCGTTTAGGGTTACAGGGGCTCTCGGGTTACATGGGTTTAGGGTTTAGGCATTAGGGTTTTAAGTGGGGTTTAGGGTTTTAAGTTTAGGGGTTTAGGGTTCGGGGCTTTAGGGCTACAGGGGTTTAGGGTTTAGGGTTAGGGGTTTAGGGTTCGGGGCTTTAGGGTTACAGGGGTTTAGGGTTTTGAGGTCCTTGCTTGCCGCTTTGGCGCTTGAGGTTCTTCGAGTGTTGGGGCTCGGAGCGTAGGGCCTTTATACCCTTCAGCTTCTGTCTTTCAGGCATTAAACGCTAAACCCTAAAACTCTAAAACCCTAAACCCTATATGTTCTTGGTTTTGGAGGGGAGGGAGGCTATGCAGCTTGCAGGCACAGGCCCCGGGGTTTATCCCATGCCCGGGTTTTCCTGGAGTCTGCTTTGAAGGAACTCTGAAAGGGATCCGAAACTCGCTTCCAGAACCGCTCCCTTGCCAAGCTCTATTATGGGGAGTTCTCTAATTTTTGGTCCCTTTTTAGGATCCGTGCCATAAGGGTGCCGTACTATTTTGAGGACCCAGCAAGTGACACTAATTTAAAGAACTACCCATACATGTGATGTCCTGGTCTTTTGTTTATTGTCATCCGGCAGAGTTTTGTTCTGAACGTCCCCAGATCTCTGCGCTTCCTCATGATCCCTCAAAAAAACGAGCCCTACATCTATAAGGGTTTCTATAAGGGGACCATAAGGGTTCTATATGGGTAGTTCTCTAAATTAGGGTACCTTTTACGGTCATACTCACATCTCCCGAAACCCGAAACCCTGAAATTCCGACATCCTTCCATGCATAGCCGAGGTCCAGAATTCCACACCCTAGGGTTTTGGGTTTAGGGTTTAGGGCTTAGGGTTTAGGGTTTAGGGTTTAAGGTGCACGTCTGGCCCATGAGTCAAAAAACAAACGAGGAAGACTCGCACACAATGTCCCCTCAGATCGCAAAGCCTTCCAAAGTCTACAGTTCTGACGTCCTACGCCACAAACCGCAAGCCCACCGGTGTGCGCTTGAATCCCTCAACATAGAAACTCCGTCTTGGAAATAGTCGAGCACAAGTGGTATAAGTAATGTAAAATCAAAGGTAAGAAATCTGATGAAGAAAGCCCATCCCTCAAGCTAGAAGCGACTCCAGTTCGGAGGCACACGAGGCCGAGGAACGATCTGTTAGCTAAGATCGAGGATGGGAAGCAGATAAGTATGAGGAGGAGGAGAAGGAGGAGCATGAGCATAAGCATAAACCTGAGGATTGTGATGAGAGTGAGGGTGATGGTTGACAAGATGATAGCCGAGTGGTCGTAGTGGTGGTAGTACTGGCGGCGGTGGTGGTCTTGCTACTAGTACTGCTGCTGCCGCTGCTGGTGTGGGACGATCATCCTGCTGATCTTCATGCTTCCTCGTTCGACACCAGCCTGAACCGAGCATGTTCCATCCTGCAGGCCATATTCACGACCCTTAGCCTTAAGCAATTCCAGTGCCTTGTCTGGGGTTACCTTGTAATATCCTCAACTTAATATTAGATAAAAAGTATAATGAAGACTATAACCTCCATTGTGGTTACCTTATAATTATAGGATCCTAAACATAGAACAGCATAAACTACATAAACCAAAAACGGAAGGAAAATGAACTGAGAGAAGCCAGCAAAGGAACCATAATGAGATTAGAGAAACTACAAGACAAGGAACGGTCATGAAGACACTAGGTAACATAGGGGCCTTGATAATTAGAATAGGGTTGTGGGGCCGATTTACGGTATAATCATAATAAGGAACCCCCAAAACCCTATTCAGATCATTCAGGCCCGCATACTAAACCCTTGTACTAGCCTTACTGTAACCCTTAAAAGGAGCCCTTTTAAGGGATCCTATTCTGATTGTTGCGGCCCTTATACTAAACCACCAAAAAAACCTCCCAGGAGCAAAGCCGCTCGAAGGAAGCGGTTGAGCCACGCGGCAGAACTCAGGAGGAGGAGAGGGGCAGGGTTTAGACTTTTTTGGGGTTTTATATTTATAGGGTATATGGAAAAGGGTTTATTATGGCTTATATGGTTTATAGGGTTTTTGGTGATTTATGGGGTTTGGGGTTTGTAGGCTTTTAGGGTTTAGGAGCCCATTCTGGGCTGCTGGAAAACAGTGAATTCAAGGCTCGAGCTTTTGAGTTGGGGCGGTTTAAGGTTTTGGGTTTAGGGGTTTAGGGTTTAGGGGTTTAGGGGTTTAGGGTTTTGGGGTTTAGGGGTTTAGGGTTTAGTGTTTAGGGAACCCTAAACCCTCTTGATTGGATTAGCTGGCAGAGTTTCGTATAAGCGAGGGAAGGAGAACAACGAAGGCTGGCATTCGTGGGTCGGCCTCGCAGAAAGAAATCAGGTGCGACCGATACTGATCCCGATTCCTAACTCCCATTTTGGTGGAAACACCAGGGACCTCACATGAAACAGACCCTTCCACGCCACTTGTGCCTCTCAAGGTGCTACTCCACTCCACTTCGGCGGAACGCGCCGCTGGTGGATGCGTCGGGTGCCTCTAGCCAACAGCGACTTTCACGTTCATTCACCATTCGCAAGTTTGCCAGTGCAAGCCGCCGCTAAACCCTTCAAGACGTATAGGTATGTCAAGTTACATGCGCATGAGCCGTTGAGAGGTATTTCGCGCTCTTCGCATCCACAACTTCGCTGTCCAGTCCAATCGGTTACGTCAAAGCCGAAGTGCCAGGGCTAATGACCAGAGCAAGATGTACGGTTTAGGTGTTGTTGTGTTTGGCCTGTACTGATACTCTACCTCTCTGTATCTCTATCTCTCCCTGACTCCCTCTCTCTCTCTGTGTCTGTCTTTTTTGTTTTCTCTCTCTCTCTCTCTCTCCGTCCCTCTACCTCTCTCTCTCCGTCCCTCTCCCTCCCTCCCTCCCTCCCTCCTTCCCTCGCTCGCTCGCTCGCTCGCTCGCTGTCTCTTCTCTCTTCTCTTTTATCTCTTCTCTCTTCTCTCTTCTCTCTGTCTCTCGCTCTCTCTGTCTCTGTCTCTCTCTCTCTCTCTCTCTCTGTCTCTCTCTGTCTCCCTCTCTCTCTCTTTCTCTGTCTCTCTCTCTCTGTCTCTCTCTCTCTGTCTCTGTCTCTCTCTCTCTCTCTCTCTCTCTCTCTTTCTGTCTCTCTCTCTCTCTCTGTCTCTGTCTTTCTCTCGCTCTCTCTCTCTTTCCCTTTATCATATGTGCAAATAGATACATATAAGATATATAGATATATGTTATATATGTACATACACACAGATGTCTAGACGTAGCTGCTGACACACACACACACATGTATACATGTATATACATATATATATATATACATATATATACATATTCACATACCTTGTAGGTACAGGTACAGGCTTACATCTATGTATGTATGTCTGTGTGTGGGTTTATGTGTATGTGTATATACATATGTATACTGTGCATGCATGCATGCATGCATGCATGCATGCATGCATGCGTGTATGTATGTATGTATATACTTATGTACTTATGTACGTATGTATGCATGCGACTGTGTCTGTCTGTATGTCTGTATGTATGTATGTATGTATGTATGCATGTATGTATGTATGAGTATGTATGTATGTATGTATGTATGTATGTATGTATGTATGTATGTATGTTGGTAATGTATGTGTACACTCACATGTACACGTACATGTGTATGTACATGCGTATGTGTATGTACAATTATATGCATCTGTCTGTGTCTTTATGTGTATGTGCATATTATGTGCATGTTTTGTATATGTATGTAGATGAGTATGTGTAAACATACGCATGAGTATATATATATATATACACATATATATATATATACATGGTGCCCCCCACATATATATATATAGATAGATAGATAGATAGATAGATAGATAGATAGATAGATAGATAGATAGATATACGTGTGTGTGTGTGTGTGTGCATGCGTCCGGCATTATGTTCACGCCCATCTTTGTCTCTCTCTCTCTCTCTCGGATTGCATTGACAATTCATGTCTGCTTTACATGGCGAGCTTAAATGTCCTTACATTCTGCTGTAGTCCTTTCTTCTTTCATAATCGTGTAAGGACTGTGGGTCTGTCAGAGAAAATTATAAGTCTATCATCAAATTTATTTATATTTACCAGAGCAAACCCTAAACCCTCAGCATTAGAGGCCCATAGCCTGTAGCCCTATACCCAAACCCCTCAACCGTATTGCAAAACCCGTAAATCCTAATCCCTTATGCCCCATACCCTATTAGCCCTATACCCCTCTACCCTACGTGGAAAACCCTCAAACCCTACCTATAGTCTCCAAAAAAGGAACTACAATGGAGACTATAGGTACAGCCTTTAACCCCAATCCATCCCGAATCTCGCGCCCTCCGCGTCTCGGAAGCTTCCGCAGGCCTCCGGCACTGCTTCAGAAAGCTGAGAGCCTGGGCAAGGGGCCTTCGTGACTTAAAGGCAAGTGCTTGACTTGAGGGTTTTGTTAGGTCTTTAGAGTTTTTGGGGCCTCAAACCCGAGTCTCGAGGGTTTCTGGAGCTGAGAGCTTTGTGGCATGAGGATTCTTATCATTAGTATTACTACTATGATTCTTATTAGCTTGCGAGATTTGAGCCGTGGCTGCTTGAACTGTATGTCGGCTTTTGAAGTTCCTCCCTGGCGGTGCGCTGAAACAGCAGGGGCCAGAAGTAGCACGCAAGAGGACGGACGATGCGCTTCGGATTCTTTGCGTTATCGTCGGCATCGTGATGAGGGCAAGCACAGCCATGATACTAGTCAGCGATCCAGGTCCTTTTCCGGATAATCGCCCTGCTCGCCCTCGTCACCTTCATGATCAGTGTCATCATCACCCTCGTCGTTCCGATTCTTATATCATGACATTCAGCATCATCGCCATCATCTTCATGGTGACAGCCGTGACCTCCTGCAACAGGCCAAGCGAGCGCTGCGCGAAGCGCGTGCGGCGCGTGCATTGGTGTGCCCCAGCACAAGGGAAGGTTGAGATGGGTCCGTGTTTTAGGGTTCCACGGTGACAGCCTAAACCCTAAACCCTAAATCCCCTAAATCCCCTAATTGTTCGTTTCTTGAAGTGGGCTTTGATCTCCAGTTGCTCTTTGAGGATCATCCAACTGGCTTCGGTTGTCCACGTATATTATCTTAGATACTATATGCTCGGTCATACTATTTGGAAAGTAAAGGTCTATGTTTTTGCAACAATATGAATGATGCAGTATGTTAGGCGTCATAAGAGTATACACTTCATTACTCACACTTCATTATTCATATATATATATATACATGCATACATACAGACAGACAGACAGACCGACCGACCGTCAGACAGACAAACAGACAGACAGACAGACAGACAGGCCGTCAGACAGACAGACAGACAGACAGACAGACAGACAGACAGACCGTCAGACAGACAGACAGACAGACCGTCAGACAGACAGACAGACAGACAGACAGACAGACAGACAGACAGACAGACAGACAGACAGACAGACAGACAGACAGACAGACAGACAGACAGACAGACAGATAGACAGAAAGACAGACAGACAGA